TGCATGGAAAGGCAAATTGCAGAGCCTACAAGTGCTGCAGAAAGGGAAAACCTCTTCAGATCCATTGGTGACTTAAACTCTGTGAGATCACTGGGCCCAGTGGTCAAACTTATGAGATTTTATTCCTTTTTCCAGTCAGAGCAGTTCTTTGATGGAGAAGTTTGGATGAACAAGTTAATCATGCTGGAGACTGAGAAATATACAGTCACTGATGGTTCTGATTTCATAAGATCAGAAGAGACCATGGCAGTGCCCAATCATCCTGGGATAAGTGACAGAGAGCAGCTCAAAAAGTTGAAGGCAAAGCATGGCAGCTGGGGTTTGGCCCCACTCCTTGTTACACCAGCATCATTTTGGCAGAAAAATGCAATAGTTGTCCTTGCCAAGCCTTGCTGGTCAGCACATGCTTGGATGTCAAAGAACCTCCTGACACCTGCCCAGTCTGCCAAACACACCATATCCCAAAGCCAAGGAGGCTGGAAATCAGAAATTTTGGAGCTAGTGCTTCAAGGCTTTTTGTCCACCAGTGCACTAAAGAAGCTTTACCCTTTCCAAAGCACTTCAGAAGCCACCAAGCAAGCAAGACTCAGCATTCACTATGATTTTCTTGTGACCTTGATGGGAAAGAGGGCAAGCAGCCTTAGTGCTTTCTACTGCAGGCCACCCATTAGGTACAGTGCCTTGCTTTCTGAGAAGCCCTTTGAAGTTCAATCTACCCAGAAAGCTATGCAGGCAGAGTGGAAAAAGATTGCAAAGCATGAGGAGAATGATTTGAATGGTTCATATGTGAAAGGATTGGACTCACTCCACTTTTTGCATGGATGCCTGCCCAGGCTTGCCTTCTTGCTCAATGAAAGAGATTGTGATCAAAAGACCCAAGAAGCTGCAATGTTGATCAAACCTTTGATCACCAATTTTGGTGATACCCTTTGTGTTGAAAACACTCACCAGAGTGCAAAAGATTGCCTGAATGAATCTCGACACAATATAAGGTCCAGGACATGCAAACAAGCAGCTGTTATCAACAGCAGGGTCTTCCAAACAAGGATGACTGAACACATTTCAGTGTCTGAACTGGAGCTCAGTACAGCATCAGCAAAAGGCATGCCAGCCTTTGTGCCACTGACCAACCCAAATAGCCATAGAATGCAAAGGGAGTACCAAGAAATGATGCAACACAAGAGTGGCCAACACTTTTGGCCTGCAACTTCCAATGCATCTCAATTTGAAGAGGTGGCAGCACTGGAGATGCTATTGAATGCCCCCAGTGCCAAAGTTTGCTTGAACTGCCTAGCAGGAAAGCCAGGGAACCTGATTGCATCCCAGTCCACAAGTTTGGTGGGCCTTGTCATCAGCAAGTCTGTGAGTGGTGTCCTCATTTGGGCTATGGAGTCTTTGAGTGGCATGAACCCCACCACCTACAGATGTATCCCCAAAGATACAGCACTTCAATTTCACCACATTGTCACTTTGGATGAATGGGTTGAAATCCCAGCACACCCAGTTTTGCTCAATGAACATGGTTCCTTGTGTTTAGAGAAAACTGGTCCAGGGATTCCTCTTGGCCTTGCCAGAGTCAAAAGTGGTTTAGAGTTAACTGTTAAGGAAGCCAAGGAAGTTCTTGCAGCTTGCAATGTGTACTTGCCTGGTCAGCCAAACAAAGCTCAAGTGTACAAAGCAGTTGTGGAGCAATTTTTGAAGGCTGAAGATGAGATCCAGCAGGCATTAGCCTTGTCCAGTGCCAAAGGCAAAATGGCTGAAGAGGATGAAGATGATGATAAATTGTCAGAATATCAAGACCTCTTAGACCTGGTGGAAGAAGATACTGAAAACAAAAATGATCCTGACATCAAAGGTGAGAAGGAAAAGGTCAAGAGGCAAAAGCAAAAGGTTGCCATTGAAGGCCATATCTTATTGGGTGCTCAAAAGAAGGGCAGGGGGAGGGGGAGAGGAAAAGGTGCTGGAAAGGGGAAAGGAAGAGGGAGAGGCAAAGGCAAGGAGGTGGCAGGGAAGTTTGCTTCAAAGCAAGCAAGAGGCAGAGGCAAAGGGAGAGGGAGAGGGGCCAAGAAAGCAGAAAAGCCTCCAATTGAGGGTGAGCAGCATTCTCAGCCTGAGCCACTCCCTCAGGGTGGCCAGCCTCCTCAGGCTGAACCATCCCCTGCCCAATGTGAAGACCTAGCTGAGGAGCTTCTGGAGCCAACATCTCCAGCAGATGATTTTGCCCCAACATCTCCAGTTGATGCTCACCCACCCATTCAACCTGGCCCCAGCCAGCAAGCAGAAACAGCTTTGGAAGGTCATGCTACCAAAGCAGAAGAAGCATTGGCATCTGCAGCAGACTTTGCTGAGGCACCAGCATCCCATACAGAAGTACCTGCACCTGC